TCTAATGTTGCTTATGCTTTTGGTATCATATTTAAGAATCTTTTACCAAATCCCTGATCATAAAGATTTATCTCTTTGTCTTTTTCTAAGTGTTTGATAGTTTTACCTCTTAAATTTAGGTCTTTGAGCCATTTTGAGTTAATTTTGTTATGATGTGAAGTAAGCCTCCCATTTCATTCTTTTGCATATGGCTATCCATTTTTTCCAGTACCATTTATTGAAAAGACTGTCTCCCCCCCCTCCCACCCCCACCGCTGAACTGTCTTGGTACCTTATTGAAAATCAGTCAACCACATGTGTGGGTTTGTTTCTGTACTCTCAATTCTGTTCCATTAATTTGTATGTGTATCCATATGCCAGTGCCACATTGTTTTGGTTACCACTGATTTGCAGTACTTTTTGAAACCAGGAAGTGTAATTACTATTATCTTGTTCTGTTTTTAAGGATTGTTTTGACTATTTGGGTCCCTTGCAATTCCATAAGAATTTTGGAATCAGCTTATCAATTTCTATAAAGAAGTCAACTGAGATTCCGAGAGGGATTGCATTGAATCTGTAGGTCAGTTTAGGAGTATTACCATCTTAATAATGTTAAATCTTTTGGTCCATGAACATGAGATGTTTTCCCATTTATTTAGATCTTCTTTAATTTATTTCATCAATGTTGTATGGTTTCTGGAGTATAAATTTTACATTTTTGTTAAATTTATTCCTAAGTATTTTTTTGAAGCTACTGTAAATGAAATTGTTAATTTCATTTTTTGGATATTCGTTGCTAATTTATACAAATGCAACTGATTTTTATGTTGATTTGATACCCCATACCTTTGCTGAACTCATTTTTTAGCTCTAATAGTTTTAGGTGAATTTCTTAGGATTTCCTATATAAAAGATCATGTCATCTACAAATAGAGATGATTTCTGCTGTTACAGTCTGGATGCCTTGTATTTCTTTTTCTTGCCTAATTTCCCTGACTAGAGTCTCTAGTAAAATGTTGAGTATAACTGTCAAGAGTGAACATCAAAGTTTTGTTCCTTGTTCCTTCTTTTCATAGAACTTCCTTTAGTGTCTCTTGTAAGGCAACACATTGTTACTAGCAACAGAGTCCCTCCATTTTTGTTTATCTGGTAGTCTATTTTGCCTTCATTTCTGAAAAATAGCTTTGCTGGATATTGGATTCTTGGTTGGCAGTTTTTTTTCTTTGAACACTTGGAATAGTTGTCTCAATGCCTGTTAAAGTCCACAGTCTCTGCTGAGAAGTCAGTTATTAACCTTAATGCAGTTCCTTTATAAGTGATAAGTTGGTTTTTTTATGTTACTTTCAAGATTTCTTCTGTTGCTTTTGACTTTTAGCATTTTTAGTATGATGTGTCTGTTTATAGATCTCTTTGTGTTTATTCTGTTTGGAGTTTGTAGAGCTTCCTGAATGTATAAGTTACTGCTTTTCAATAAATTTAGGACATTTTCGGCAATTTCTTTGAATATTTCTTCTTCTCTTTTCTTGCTGTTCTTTTCTTTTGGTAGTTCTGTTACATATTTTTGGGCACTTGCTGCTGTTCTACATTTCTCTGAGGTTCTGTTCATTTTTCTTCATTCTTTTTTCTCTGACACTTTTTTCAGCTTGCATAATCTAATTGCTCTATTTTCACATTTGCTCTTTTATTTTTTCCTGCCGTTCAAATCTACTCTTGAGCCCCTCTAGCGAATTTTTTATTTCAGTTACTATACTTTTTTACCCCAAATTTCCCCTTTGGTTCTTTTTTTGTAATTCCTATTGCTTTATTAATACTCTGATGCAACTTTGTTGTCATATCCTCTTTTACTTCTATGATAATGCTTTTCTGTACTTCTGTGAACATATTTATAATGGCTACTTTGAAGTCTTTTGTTGTTAAATCTGACATGTGTTTGCTCTCATAGGGAATTTCTGTTGCCTGCTTTTTTTCCCAGTGTATGGGTCATATTTTCCCGTTTCTTTGTATGCCTCCTTGTATTTTGTTGGAACTGGACATTTTAGATATTTATATTGATATTTTATTTAGTTTACTTAATTATTTTTTAAAAAGTAGACTCCATGCCCAACGTGGGGCTTGAACTCAGAACCCTGAGATTGACAGTCACATGCTCTACAACTAAGCCAGCCAGGCACCCCTTGATATTTTAGATATTAGGCATTATATATTGTACCTAGATTGATCTTCTTGTACCTTCCCAGTCTGTGATTTTTTTTTGTTATTTACTTCATTATTTGTTGTTTTGTAACTAGATCGATTATTTTAGTGAAGTAAGCTTCTGATCCTGTTGCTCAGGGAGTTACAGCTCTGGGTATGCCCACAGTTCTGAGATGACAGTGGAATCAGTGTGACTCTCTCCTGCTCTTTCTCTGACCACACCCAACTGTTAAACTACTCTTGTTTTCAACAGTGTCTTGGAGTCTTAAGTTGCTTTACAAACTAATCTAAATTTTTGGAATAGTTTCAGAGGTGTATTTGTTCTGACCACAGGAGGGTTCCTCTTAGCTTCCTTATACCTCAGTCCTCTTCTGCAAGCTATCTGGCCTATTGTCTTGAATGTTGGGGTTTTTTGCTTGTTTGTTTTTAACATTTTATTTATTTGAGAGAGAGCATGAGCAGGGTTGAGGGGCAGAGGGAGAGGGACAAGCTGACTCCCCTCTGAGCAGGGAGCCCGACGCAGGGCTCAACCCCAGGACCCTGAGATCATGACCCGAGCCAAAGGCAGACGCTTAACCAACTGAGCCACCCAGGTGCCCCGACTGTTTTTTCTGAAATCCATAAATCTTCTTCCAGTTGCCTTTCATCACGTCCTCAACTGTTCTTGAGAGCTTAAACTTCTCCGTGCTCTATTACAAATGAAGTCAGTTCCTTTGGGAAGAGATTGCAAACTACCTATTTTATCATCTGTTTCTACCCTCAGGCAGCTCTGGAGCTCTTCTCTGAATGACACTCCTGCTCTAGAACCTGAGCATTCAGTGAAGGCAAGGGTAGGAGTGTGGGCAGCAGCCTGATATCCTCTTGGCTTGCTTCTCCTGGTGGTAGAGCCACCACCTCATAAGCTAGGGCAATGGTGATCAGGACTCCAGTTTCTCAGTAGCCTTGTGCCCAAAGTATAGCCTTTGTTCCATCAGTTGGGGGATTGGCAGAAGAAGGGAATGCATACTTCTTGACATCACTTGCCTGGGGCTTAGCAATACTTACCTGGGGGCAGGATGAGGTAAACTGAAGTCCTGCTGCTCCTCGGAAGAAAGCCCTCTAACAGGGAGCTGGAATAAGAGGAAACCTTGTGTTCTTGACTACAGCAGTCTGGGGAGGAGTCTTTCCCTCACTCTTAGTGGGTAAGGAGGGACAGGTCTTAGTTTAAATACCACAGATCTCTCCTTTCTTACTGAATTTTTCTATATACTCTTGAGTAGATGTTTCTTCATTTGTCCTCGGGACTATTTCCAGAGCTTCTCATTGGTTATCATTTTACTAGTTCCATTGGGTTAGCAGATTAGCAGAGCTCCTCATGCTCTCTTGTCAGAAATTGGTCTTTGAATGGTTTTCATTTTTAATTGAGATATAATTGACATATAACATTGTATTATTTTTAGGTGTATAACATAATTTTTTGATTGATATATGTATATATTATGAAATACTCACCCCAACAAGTTTAGTTAATACTGATCACCACAAAGTTACAAATTTTTTTTTTCTGATGATGAGAACTTTAAAGAGGAATGGTTTTAAATACATTGTAATTATCTTCTTTTTACAGGACTATAGAATTGTTCTGTGAAACTATCTGGGCCTGCTATTTATTGATGAAGGGGGAGGAGTCCTTAAAATTTATCTTAAGGAAATTTGTCTAATTAGATACCTGTCTTTTCTGAAGCCCATTTTGATAACTAATATTTTTCTAGATAATAATCTGTTTGATCTAAATTTTCAACCTATTTGCATAGGACTGAGCAAAGTAATCTCTTATGATTCCATTAAGTTTTTTCTGTCTGTGGTTATTGGGGGAGGTGTACTTCTTTTTATGTGTCTTAAGCATTATTGTAATTCACTAATGAGATAATACTGGAAAAAATGTTTTCCCTACAACTTCACTGGTTATGATTTATTATAATCAGAATTTCTTTATCTCTACAGTAATAATACTTTAGTGAATTCTTGCTATGTATTAGGTACTTTACAATTTTGATTTATTTAATCTTTATAACAACCCAAGAATGTATATACTGATAGTATCTTTATTTTATGGATGAGAAAACTGAGTTATAGAGATAATAATTTGCCCAATTATGTCTAGGTGATGATCATAATTTTAACTAATTAGTTGGCCTACAAGAAATTTAAAATTATTTAAGGTTGTTAAATAAATAGATGTATTTGCTTCCTAATATCTCAACCTAAATCACTATCTAAAAAGTAATATAATTTTTAGTTGTCTATGACAATATACTCCATCCCATGGATTTTTTCAGGTAAGTTAGTGGGGGGGGGGAAAGTGTTACCAATAATTTCCTTCCTCAGTTAACAATTACTAGTACTTAAATTTATAGTTAGCATGAGAGATTCATTTTATTTTTTATTTTACTTTTTTTGAGAGATTTCTTTTAAATGGATATTTTACATTTGGAAAGTCAATGTAACAATTAACATTTAAATAAAAATTTTGAAAAATGTAAAAAAAATCCGCATCGTTACACTAATTTGGTTTGAAAGCTCTTATTTGACGTGATCTTAGACAAAAGAAAAAATGTTCTTTTAAAGAAATTGTTAATAGTTTCTGTAATATCTTAATTATTTTATTGAATGAGAGAAATCAGGAAAGAGGAATTTAAGGAATGAAAATTGAGAATTTCATCATTTTGAAAAAGCTTCTCTTTAGGCAAGACTGAGCAAAAATGTGTAACTACTGCCCTCTTGGGTTGGTATAAGGAAAGTGTTTTTCAAAATAATCTGTATTGAGATTTCTCTTTCTTCTTTCAAAGGTGTTAAAATCATCACACAACAAGTTCAACCAAGTAAAATCTTACCCAAACCAGTGACAGCAACTCTGCCCACCAGTAGCAATTCCCCTATTATGGTGGTTAGCAGTAATGGTGCCATTATGACAACTAAACTGGTAACCACTCCTACTGGTAAGTTTTCTCGAGCATCAGTCCATTCATTCATCATATAGTCATTGAGTAATTTCTTGGTATCAACGTAGTGCTTGACACTAGGGATATAGAGATTAATGAGACAGTTCTTTAAGAGCCTTCCCCCCCCAACTAAAATTAGCTTTCTTTTATTATCATGGTCTTCTGTTCTTTTACTTTATAGCACATAACTACAGTTTCTAATTTCTTCACTTCTTGTTTGTTGATTTATTGTAGTTCACCTTACTAGACCATAAGCTCCATGATAAGGGACTGTCTTTGTTTTATTCACCATATATATGTAGAGCTGGTCTGGAAGTAGGTGTTTAGTCAGGATTTGTTGAGGAACTGAAAACATACTCTCCCGGCCCAGAAGGATTGCACTCTTAGGAGGTTGAAAGTCTATATTACATTGCGGTGTAGTAAGCATTACTCAGACTTAGAGAAGCACAGGATGCCATTTTGCCCATATATGAGAACAACCAGGCTATGCCCAAGGAAGTGACAGTGTAGAACATTTTAAATAGTACCACCCTTTGTGTCCTTGAGCAGGTTACTAATCCCTGTAAGTCTTTTCCCTTGTCTGTTTAAATGGGATAACAATACCTGTACCATAAGGTTATTATAAGTATTAGAGGAAATCAGGTATGTACAGTCCCCAGCAGAGTGCTCAATAGCTATTATTATTAATTAATGTAAGAATTAGCTACTACTACTATTTTAAATTTATATAACTCTTACCAGATTTTTTGTGAAGGGCCAGTACTTAAATGATAGAATGTAAATAGTGTAAAATGATACCTGTCTCAAGTTTATAAAGCTATCATTTATTGGCCAGGATGTAAAGGTCTATACACTTAATCTCCCTTAGGCTTTAATATCTCTATTCTTAGCAGCAAAACAGAGACTGATGTTAAGCAACTTGCCCAAAGTCATGCAGCCAATAAAAGGAAGATCTGGGATTTGAACCCCCATCTGTTTGACTCTCTTTTTTTTCTTTTTAATTGTGGTAAAATAGAACATGAAATTTACCATTTTAAGTGTATAGTTCATTGACATTCAGTGCATTCATGTTATTTTATAACCATCATCACCATCAGGCTTCAGAACCTTTTCATCTTCCCAAACTGAAACTCTGCACATTAAACAATAACTCTCCATTACCACCTTCCCGCAGTCCCTGCCAACCACCATTCTACTTGCTGTTTCTGCAAAACCTGTGCTTTAAAAACACGCTATTCTTGCATTAAATTTATCATACTCCACCCTCCCTGCCCCTCCCCCCCCGCCCCAAACTGTTTTCCATTTGGTACAAAATAATAGTGTTATTTATATATGATTCTTTACCTTAGGGAAAGATGGTAAAAAATAATAATGTGTCTGTCTGTGCCTGTGTATCTCTGTTAGAAAAGGTGTTTCTTTTTTTAAAACAAAAGCTTAAGTGGAAAATTTTTTGTTAAAATTTAGCTGGTTCACATTATGTTTGTAGCATGTTTACTTTGCACTAGATTTTTTTTTAAGATTTTATTTATTCATTTGAGACACAGAGATACAGAGAGAGAGAGAGAGAGAGCAAGCATGAGTGGGGGAGAGGCAGAGGGAGAGGGAGAAGCAGGCTCCCCACTGAGTCAGGAGCCCAATGTGGGGCTCGATCCCCGGACCCTGGGATCATGACCTGAGCCGAAAGCAGACATTTAACCATCTGAGCCACCCAGGTGCCCCCTCTGCACTAGATTTTTTGAGGGGGAGTCAAATGTATGTTTGTAACTGATTTAAATTAATTCTACCTAATGTTCTTCCCCTCCTCCTTTTTTTGGGTTGTGATTGTATTTAAAAATTTTTAAATATCTTGATAAAAGCATTTTTGCAGGGAGGGAGTTGTTGAAAATGGTTATCACGATGCCCATTCTAATTATTATGAAAAAATGCTTTCCTGTCAAAGAAGGTATTATCTTAGTCATCTTCTTTCTTCCCCAGACTAATAGTTCCTAGTGTAGGAATAGTATTTCTGAGTTACTGGACTTGTAGGAAACTATAACAGGCTCATCTGGTTAGTATTTAATTCTTGTTTGGGAAAAGAAAAAAGTCTTTGGAATAGTGGGGAAGAGTGCAAAATCCTTTGAGAGACATGAAGAAAAATATTCTAATGGGTCAGTTAGAGTTGAGGAAATATGTAAATAGTGAACTTTTTCGGTCAAAAGAAATATTCCTGGCAACTCTTGGCAGCTTCAACTTTAATCTCTAGTAAAATGATGGAATAATTCTTTAAAAGATGGAAATATATTTAGAGAGTAGCAGAGTACAAAATAGTGTAAGTTTATAAAATTTTAAGCAAACAATACTACCTTATTTGCTGAATGCTGACATTGGGTTTGGCACTGTGACTGCATAAAACAGATGTAGAAACCTTAAAATCAGTAACAGAAATTTCTAAAATGCTCTGGCAGGAAAGATGATTAAATTTAAGTTTCTTTTGGCATAGAACTAGTGGAAGAAGGGTAGTGGAAGAAAGAAACATAGTTATACTTTTTCTTGAGGTTGGTAATTTGATGCAACACATCACAAAATTTTATGTGTAAAATTAATCCAAATTAACTTGGCTGTAGTTCTTGCTATGTGCATTGAAAATTGTCTATAAATTGTTACTTAATGTCTTGACACCTTGAAATTCCATTTTCAAGTTGAAGCAATGTAGATTACATTGAATTATAGCTAAACTGTGTAAATTGTCATTCTTCTATAAGTAATGACAAGTTTTTCTTTTGGCTTTTCCCTTTTTATAGGCACACAGGCAACCTATACCCGCCCAACAGTGAGCCCGTCCATAGGTCGGATGGCTGCAACCCCTGGAGCTGCAACCTATGTGAAAACTACCAGTGGTAGCATCATCACAGTAGTACCCAAGTCATTAGCTACCCTGGGGGGCAAGATAATTAGCAGTAATATAGTTTCTGGTAGGTATATCTGAAATACGTTAAAGCTATAGGTAACCAGTAAAGAGGAAAAAACATTTCACTGTTGAAGGATTCTGTTAGATCTGTTTTCTGCTTAGAAATCTGGAGCTTTGTTTTTAGTCTGATGTTTAGTGATTAAGTCTAGTTTTTTATTTCTGCTATTAAATTTTCACACATTAAGTTTTTGACAGTTTTAAAATAGAACATTAGTTGTTTTTAATCAGAATGGAAATACTATGATTTACATTTGTATAGAGATTTTTCATTTACTAAGTATTCTCCCATTTGTCAGTCCTTTCAGAATGGTTAAATCTGAATAGTTGGTATCACCCACAGTTAACAGGTACAGACAGATTTAAGTCTAGAGAGTTGAAACTGACCTATCTAAGGCCACACAAGCTAGATAGAGGAAGAAAGAACTAGGATTTATTCATCTTTGAGGGACCGTATCTCATAATTTCATTTACTAATGTCACTTTTAGCTTATTAAAAATAAAAATATTTGAGTATCTTTATTTTCTTTTCACCATTATATTGATTGTTTACTTTTAAGAAATATTTTACTCAGTGAAAGCTAATATTTATTGGTATTTTGGGACTTTACCTGGTTTTTATCAGCTCATTAATTCCTGCAGTATTTGGACTATGGACTCCGAAGTGGAATGTTAACATAGCATCTGTTTTCGTTATTGGTTTTTAATTAAAATTATGTAAATAATCTCTCATCAAGCAAGCCCTGTGGACTTTAACTATCTACTATTTTTGTAGACTAGCCATATTCTGTATGCCCCAGGTGAGTTGTTCTGACATTTTGAAGTGAAGGGATTGAAGTTCCTGGCAATATATGATGTTGCTAATAACTCGGAATAAAAAAACAAAGCAGGGCATGGTGTTGGCATAAAGCACTGTATTTAAAGCTGCTAATATTGGCTCTCTTTTTAAGTGTAAGTGAGAAAATCCAATGTTTGCCAAACTGAGGAGGGTGAAACCAGTAAGGAAAGAATCATCATACTCTAGCTTTAAGAGGATTTTTTAAATAACTCAGTGAAAACTCAAATTTTGATTTATTACCTGACAGTATCTTAATGGTATAGAGCACATTCTCAAACATTTTTCAAAAAGTGATCATTCTTCATTGGTATGTAGCTTTTTATCACCATAATGGTTTTTCTTTACTTATATATGAATTCATAATAACCTTATAGCTTGAAGGAATGTCTAGATGTCATGAGGCCACTGTTTTCAGGCCTTCTTTATGATTTAGCTGCTTTGTATCAGGTTAGAGCACTATAGTAAGCAAGCGTATTTTCCTAGAAGCAGAGATATATACCCTCTACATGTATACATTTTATCCACCTTTGTATGTAAATACAAAACAACTCATGGTTAGCTGCTTTTTCAAGTATTATTGGGTATACATGAGAAGAGTTCTTAAACTTTTCTAGTACAATAGGATGTACTTGGCACAAAGTTGAAACAGTGCTATTCATTGCATAGAGCTTGTTTTGTGTCTACTCCTGCTTCACTGACACTTTTATTTTAAGGAATCTCTCATTTCTGACTGCTCTAAACTGATCCTTACGTTACATATCAATATTCTTTATAAAGACAGTTTTCTTATTTTATAATGTTTTTTTTTATTTTGTGGTAGTGGGATTACAGGTTAGTTTATTAGCAGTTTTCAGTCCCTGGTTATCTATTCACAGTGAACTGGTAAGCCTAGTTGGATGAATTTGGATAATCCATAATTAGATGCTGGATTCTAGAGTTTGTGCCTACCCGACTTCCCTATTCCACGAACAAAAATGAAATGCTTTTCTTAAAAGATACCCAGACGTCTAGCTGTAAGAATCGAAGGCTTTAAAAAGAAAAATGATACTTTCCCCCTTATTGTGGGTAATTTGGAAAATACAGAAAGATACAAAGAAAATTAAAATGTAATTTTTTACCATCCAGAGAAATATGTTAAGATTTAAGTGTGTATATTTCTGTTCATTTCTTTTTCTGTTCATTTTTTTGGTTATAAGTGTATGTGTGTGTATTTTTAAAATTACATTGAGATCTAATATAATCAGCTTTTACCCTTTTTTCACAGAATAATCTTATTTTCCTATTCTTTTAAATGTATCTTGACACCTCCTCTGCCCCCACTTAATGGTTACACAATATTTTCTTATATGATGCACCATAATTTAGCCATTTTCTCATTGTTGAACGTTTTAGGTTGCTTCCAATTTTTTTTGTCATTATAAATAATCCTGTGATAAACATCATTATACATAAATTATTTTTTTAAAGATTTTATTTATTGAGATAGAGCGAGAGTGAGAGAGAAGGAGAACACAAGCAGGGCGAGCAGCAGGCAGAGGGAGAAGCAGGCTCTCCACTGAGCAGGGAGCCTGATGCAGGGCTCAGTCCCAGGACTCCAGGAACATGACCTGAGCCAAAGGCAGCCACTTAACTGACTCAGCCACTCAGGCACCCCATTATACATAAATTATTATGTGAAGTTCTTACTTTCTTTTCTCTAGAAAGCAGTCATGCTTCCAAAGTGCTTTTTAGAAAGGTCAGCTTTTTCTTTTCATTAGAATAAGTAACTAAATGGAAGGCATGACTATTTTTGCAGTTATTTAACTCCTTAGAATCAGATATTTACATATATGTGTATATATAGAGAACCTATCAGATATGTAAATTTTTTTGTGAACTTTGTTGAGGGTTGGTTAAGGAACCATGCCTATTTTATGCAGAAGATTGGATCCTTCAGAGATGAACTCATTATCTTCTTCACTCAAAGGACATCATGAGAACCTGTGACAGTGGCCAGACTTGATTTTGATTTTCTTGATCCTTAGTACAATGTTCAGGCAAGGAGCTAGTGTTTATATATCTTTTCCATTCGTTCATTCATTTGCTCATTCTTTGAGCAAAGCAGCATAAAACATTATCCAAAAGACCAAATTGTTAGGGTGATGTAAAAAAAAAAATCTCTGAATAGTAAAATCTGGGCCAATAAATTAGTTTCTTTAAGCCATCCTACCATAATGCTCACATTTTTACAGGAATCTTATTTTTAAATAAAAATCCCTGGAATGCATCCAATATCATAGGCCATGATCCAAATGTGACTTACAGTTAATTTGCACCCATTGTGTCAACTCTTTATAATTGAAGACTGTATATATAGTGGGTTTTCTGATAGCCTATGAGCCGGATCTTTAGCTGGGTGCTGTGATACATAGGGATGTACATGGATGCATTCTCTGCCCTAAAGAATGCCAAACAAATGAACTTTTATACATTCTGTTATAGCATGAGAACTGTAGACTGACTATTGTGAAAGTGTAGAGGAAGACCTTTATTTTTATTTTTATTTTTTTAAAGATTCATTTATTTTAGAGAGAGAAAGAGTGGGCATGCGCATAAGTGGGCAGTGGGGCAGAAGGAGAGGGAGGGAGAGAGAATCTCTAGCGGACTCCCCATAGAGCACAAAGCCCAATCAGGCGGGGCTCAACTGGGGGCTTGATCTCACCACCCTGAGATCACGAGCTAACCGAAACCAACAGTCTGATGCTCAAATGACTGAGCCACCTAGGCACCCCTAGAGGAAGATCTTTTTTAAAAAAATGAATAACACTTGTTTCACTGATACAACATAGTTATCAACTGAAAGAAACATGCTCACTGGAATTTTAGACTTTCATAGCTTGATAATTCTAGTCATAAACTATTCTGTTTTAATATGACACTGTACTTTTCCTTATGTTATGCCTTTTTCTTCTGTTTTCTAACTTCTCCCCAGCCACCCTTCATTTTGCTAAGTGGTGAACTTGATTTGCAACTGTTTAATAAATTGACAGATCCCTGTAATGGAAAGGATTAGACAACGACTTGTATACAAATATAATTCACTTGTTAAGAAAGTTTTTCAAAAAAGTGGTCCTTGTGCTTTGGTTAAAGCTTAGTTAACATTTCCTTGAGATAATTTTTAATGCTTACTTTTTTTTTTTTTAAGATTTTATTTATTTATTTGACAGAGACACAGCGAGAGAGGGAACACAAGCAGGGGGAGTGGGAGAGGGAGAAGCAGGCTTCTCGCTGAGCAAAGAGCCCGATGTGGGGCTGGATCCCAGGACCCTGCGTCATGACCTGAGCCGAAGGCAGACGCTTAATGACTGAGCCACCCAGGCGCCCATTAATGCTTACTTTCTGAAAACACTTTTACTAACCAAGTATTTAGTGAGGCTGTATTATTGAAGGTTTCATCATAATCAATCATGTATGAGGCATTAAAGTTAATTAAGAGTTGAAGTTGATACATATGAATAATGGCCAGTGTGGTCTTTGTGGCTCTTAACAGCTTACTATTCAAAAACTACAGATAAAGGGAAAAACATTTGTGAAGCTGGTGTGTGGATAAAAGTGCATTTTTATGTAACCTGTGTTACCTTGGACTGACAAGACATTAGATGATGGCAAGTATAAAGATACATAACGTAATAAGATTGCCAAAAATTGACTAGAATATTCTTATTCTTCGTGTAACCTTATTTCTAAAACTCTAGTCAGGAATGCTGTTTCTCTAGTAGAAAAGAATAAAATTTTGTTTAATTTTTCTTCTTGGGAATATATTAATTGGTCGTGTTTTTAAATGAGTACCTGTTCTGTGCTTAGTCATTTGATAAATGATACGCAAGCCTAGAGAAGAAAAGTATGACTTGCCTGTTTTCATGGGCAGAGGAAATCACAGGCATAGAAGTAGCATTGGGACTCATATGCTCAAGGACCAATGTGGAAACCAACACACTGAAGGAGAGGTACATATTGGATGATCCTGAAAATTAAAGTCTGGCAGAACCTGGAAACCTAAGAGGAATTTGGGCTCTATGTGACAGATAAGAGGAAGCCATAGTGAAGAAGTTACTTAATAGAAGAAGTTACTTATTAGACTTATTATTAGAGTTATTACTTATTATTAGAGCTTGTTGTGTATATTATGGAATAGGAACAAATAAGATCAAATTGGTAGATTAAGGGTCAGGTCATGTAGGATTGTGACACCTAAGAGGGAAAGTTAGAACTATCTAGATAAAATAGGGATTAGGAAGGTTTTTTTTTTTGTTTTATTTTAACGTAATCTCTACCTCCAGAATAGGGCTCAAATTTACAACCCCAAGAGTTACATGCTCTACTGACTGAGTCAACCAGTTACCCTGGAAAGGTTTTTGACCAATTTCACTTTGTGGGTCAAACTGGTTTTTAAAGGATATTTGATATAACGGGAGCATGAGAGCTATTTGTATGATAGAGAAACTTGAAATAGGGAGAAAATATGAGAAGCCAAAAGAGATGAGTTGACATTGATAACATTTTGAAAGAAGACATATGTTGGTGACAAATTGAGTTTGTTCACATCTTCACTGAACAACTATTCCTGAGTAATTGCCGTACAGTATGTGCTAAGCACTGAGGAATTAGGGATGCAAAAAGATCCTTTGGAGTTCAAGGGGCTTTCACAAGGCAAGATTTGCACTAGGATTTCTAACTGCAACAGTCAAAAGAATATAGGGTACAAATTTGATAGGCATAAGAGAAGCAGGTTGTGGGGAAGAGAACATGATAGTATGTTTAGATCAGCAGATGTAGATCTACCAAGTAGATCTTAATTGTTGAAAATATAAATTTATTTATATAAATATATAAATTGGAGTTTCATCCTCAGACTCTTCAGAGTGCTGCAGATTGCAAGAGCATGTGTTTAATCTGTGCCTTGGTCTATGAGTGTTTTTTTTTAATCACATAAACATAAATGGCTTATTTTCATAAATTTTCTCTAGAGCCTAATGTTATATTAATTTTGATAAGTATTTACCTATTTTTAATGTTCTTTTTTGAAGAATTTTCCCACCACACTAGTCAAATAAATATAATACTGGGTTTGGGGAAGCATTTGTTGTGGAATGCAGATTTTTATTTGTTTCAATTAACTAGTCAGGGGAGGAATATTGATGGGGAAACTGATAGTGATATTTTTAGATTCTGATTTTGGTTTGCAAGTTTTCAAATTCCAAGAAGATGACTGCTGTAAAAGTCAATTCTTAATATTCTCTCATTCTAGGACAACTTCTACTTACTGTTCCAAGCCTTCATTTTCATCCTTGTGACAACCTTCATGTCATCTTGGGATGACATTAACTACATGTATTAATTATATACAGCATAAACAGAAATAACCAAATATCACTAGTCCTTAACTCAGGCCTCCTTTTCTCCCCCCTTCTCTAAGGAACGACTACCAAAATCACTACAATCCCAATGACTTCCAAGCCCAATGTGATTGTTGTGCAAAAGACAACAGGAAAAGGAACGACCATTCAAGGCCTCCCGGGCAAAAACGTTGTCACAACATTGCTAAATGCTGGAGTAAGTAAGAGCTTATACTGCAGATTCAGTGAATCCACTGAGGATTTTAAAGACCAGCTATACAAATATTTGCCTAAGGACTTCAGAACCCCACAATGGCCTGTATGGTTTGATTTACCGCTACTGTGATGTAATAACTGTTAAAACACCACCAACTGATGCCATTTTTCACAGTAATTTCTAAAACATGTTGCTCATCGCTAAGTTGCTTATGACCATGATTTAGATGCTTAGCTTAGTCCAGATGGAGGATTCCACTGGCTTAACTACAGTGGGACCTCTGTTAGAGGACAGTTTTATTCCTGCCTCTGGCCAGTAGACACGAGGCTAGTTTGGCCTAGGCTGGGCAAAGAGAAATATTTGGGGTGAAGAAAATTAATTGACGGGGATTTACTTTCATTTTTACCTCTTTGAGCTAGTAAAAAAAAAAAAAATAACCGCTTCATTGATAGTTGTGAAGGCAGTCGTGCAGAGGTTTGGAGTTAGACATATCTGGGTTTTGTCTCTTAGTATCGTAGTTGTTTGACCTTGGCAAATTTACTCAACTTCTGTCATCCTTAATTTCCTCATTTATAAGTTGGGGATGGTGATCTTTACTAGTGTGTTTGTTCAGTAACTGGTAGCTGTTTTAAAAGTGCTTAAAACAGTGTCTGACACATAGGAAGTCCTCAATAAGTGGTTTTTCTCTTATTATTGTTACTCTTGGTACTTAACTATTTAGGCTTGGTAATGTCCCTACTTTGCTAGAAAAAAAATGTCGTACTTCATTGTAGTAGATCTCTAGTAGCTTCCTAGGTATCGTAATCTTCATAATGTTGGCATTAGATCTTTTCATCATGTAGCAAAACATAGCCTGAGTTCACATGGTAAGCCAAAATAAAGCCTGGGAGTAGAATTCCACTTTTCAGAACGCTTTTACAGTCTGGTTTACAGTTTCATAGAATTTGATATGTAAGAGGGGATGCCATGTACCCAGAGTCCTGTGGTCACATATATTGAAGAGTTGTGTGTGAATCCTAGCTGCTAGGTATACCTACCAGCAATAATTGGACTCAGGAAGTACTAGGAAAACAATTAGATCAGAGCATAAGACTACACATATGTATATGCATCTGTACTCAACAGCTTGGTTACCTGGGCATGTCTACACACATACATCAGAAGAGCTTCTTCAAAAAATAGCCTGCTAGTTGGTTTTGATAGGCTTTGAATGGGTCATTATACTTGGACAGGGCCCATTAAGCTATTTGATAGATAGGCATGCTTACTTGCAAACTAGTGGCTCTTGGCAAATGAACTAGAGCTCCTTCCAAAGCTGCTGCTGTGAAGGGTGTGTTTGTATTAAAATAAGTAATAACATGAGTGACAGACATTTCATATCTCCCTTAGATAACAATCTCCCTTACAGCAAATAGTTAAACTTGGGATTTTTGTAACCTGTTTAGCTCTAAATTCACAGAGTGATTACCTTCTGCCAGCTCAGCTGGGTGCTTTGTTTTTACTGTCTGCTAAGTTTGGATGGCCACACATTTTAGATGATGTTGACTAATAGTTAAAAACTAATTAGGTGAAAATTTTTCTTTTCAGTTTTATGGATTTTAACTTTTAAAAATTAAAATTTAGTAAAATCACCGTTTTTGAATTTGAGTAAGCTCAAGTATTGACTATAAATGACAGAAGGTACTTGAGAATAAAGCAGACAAAAGTATAAAAATGGTGAAAAGTTAATGAGCTTAAGCTATCTAGTTAATAAACTAAAGTGATATTAGTAACATACTAATAATAAAATGTGGGAAATGCCCTGTTTGTTTTTTGTATTTTCCCATATAACCTCAGAACGTTTGTTAATATCTGCTGATTTCATCTCTTGTGCATGCATTTTCACATAGACATTGCTATGTGTCCTTATAATTTTGTATTTGGGGAGCTTAGTTTATTTGTATGTATACATTTAGTTATTGGTATAATGCACGGTAATTTTTTATTACATAAATGTCTATTTGGGGTAAATTAGAAAATAAAGGTAATGTTGGGGGGAGACCTATAATCCCAACTCTTTTGAGATAGCTATTGTTAACATTTTAGTATATATTCTTTTTTAATTTCCTGACTATTTTAATGTATGTATTCTATGAATGTGACGGTGTAGTAAATATTCTTATGTGAGATAATTTTTTAAATTCACTTGTCAGGAGATAATGCCTTCTTTGGACAGAAAGTTGGGCAGATGACTTTTAGGACTATCTCAACTAAGTCTAGCATTTTTGATCACCTGGAAACATTGTACTTTGCTATTTAATTTACAGTCCTTTCCCCATCATCCTTGTAAAACCTCACTGTGATTTTTCAGTAAAAGGATTTTTCAGTTTTTGGCATTGAAATACATATAAACCTCATATATTCACTGACTTTAATTTAGGGAGAAAAGACTATTCAGACGGTGCCAACAGGAGCAAAGCCAGCTATTATCACTGCTACAAGACCCATCACCAAAATGATTGTAACTCAACCAAAAGGAATAGGTTCCACAGTTCAGCCAGCAGCTAAAATCATCCCAACAAAAATTGTTTATGGGCAACAAGGGAAAACACAGGTATGCTATAAGATATGGTGGTTTTTCTTGGCTCTGGTATATTTCAAATTACTAAAATTCCACGTTGGAAATTTGAATGAGAAGATCAGTAATCTTTAAAAAATCAAATTGTTAAAAGTTATGACCAAATGTGCATAATTATCTGTCTTCAAAACCCGTGTTTCTCTCTTTAGTACTTTTTTTTTTTTTTGATACCTAAATATTTGCGCCATATCATGAGCAAAGATTGGGGAAACGAACCCTCGGAGTAAAATTTGCTGAAGGCATATATTGTTCCTTGGGAAGTAGATGCTTGAGGGAGAGTGGTAGTTATTTAGAATCTCTCAGAAAAAAGTATTTTTTGTAAGCTAATATGGCCTTTGAAAGCACTTTGTATACTTATAAAAAATTTGTTTTACTTGAAACCTAAATGATGGAGAAGCTAGATATCTGTTCATTTTCAAGCAATAGAAGATAAGGGAATTTTTCTGGAAATTTGCCTAGAAAATTGAGGCCCAGGATTTAATCTTATGTTGTTAGACTACTATTTATTTTATAAAGTACCTACTTTAACTGTTTTTGTGAGAATATCAAAGGAAGTAATGTCAGCTTTGATTGAGAAATGTTATCCTAGAATTCTTATAAAAGGTTTTAATTTACCTTTAAGAATTTACCTTTAGAATCAGTTCCCTCAGAATCATAGCAAAATAGTTTACACATCAAACAAATAAGTTTTGTGATTAGAAATAAGTCCAAATTGCCTTTAAGTTTCAACTGGTAACAATTCTCCTTTGCTCCATCATCTGCATCATAGTATAACCCATGTTTTCATTCTTGAATTCTTGGAAATGGGTGACTTTAGAGTCTGAAAAGGTTTCGAATCTTACATATGGGAGAAATAAAAAAGTAAATGTGGGCAGTTAACATTTTTATATTCTAGGCACCCAAATGAAGTCAACTCCTAGAGTTCAAATCTTGAAGTGGAATGGTTCAGTTTGAAATCTTTCTCCCATTTCACTTATTTTAATGTGTGTGGTTTTGACCTCTGCCAGGAGTTGATCTGCCACATGTTTCATGTTGCTTCTAATAACAGTTGTCTAAGTCAGTGTTTCTCGGGGGATTTTTCAAAGATGACTTAGGTCCCAACCATGTTTACTTTGTACAGGTGTCTTAGGAATTTCATTTGGTTGCTAATGAAAAGAAACCTGAAGAACAGTGGCTTACAAAAATTAGGGTTGTATTTTTATTATGTTAATAGTAAGTTAATTATTTTATTATGTTAATGAATGTTCAGAGGGAGGAAATTCTGGACTATTCTTGTAGCATTGGGAGTCCAGGCTTCTTGTGTCTTTCTGTTCTGCAGTCTGTAGCATGTGGCTGTCATTCTACTATATAGCCTACAGCCTGTAAAATGACTTCTGAAGTCATTATAGGCAAGAAAAAATGGGGAGAGCCTCTTGTCAAAATATGGCTGTTGCAGTCTGGCACATACCACTTAAAATGTATGTGGCTTGACTCTAATTTGTTCATAGATTGAATTAGTCTTTAATGAACAATGTTGTGCCCAAAGCATAAGAAATGTACAGAATGCAGCTTCCCATGTCAGGAAGATATTATTCATGACTAGAAGTTTAGCATTTTAAATAGTGCTCTAAAATTTAAACTGGGTATATTTCCGATTCTCTTCTAGGTTCTTATTAAACCCAAACCAGTGACATTTCAAGCCACAGTTGTTAGTGAACAAACAAGGCAGCTGGTCACAGAAACATTACAGCAAGCATCTAGGGTGGCAGAAGCTGGTAATTCATCTATTCAAGAGGGAAAAGAAGACCCACAGAGTTATACAGATAGTAGTTCCTCTTCTACAGAGTCCTCCCAAAGTTCCCAAGGTAAGATCCATTTTACTTCTGATTTATGTAATTACTTCTGACATAGTGCTCCCGTTCCAAAATAGTTGAATCTAGGGGTTTCAAACAAACATGTATGCTTTGATTTGTCGATTCTTTTGATTTTATTTTCCTTTGTTTGATATGTAATCGGTGAGCTGAAGTTTTGTTTTTGGTAAGACTTTACCGTTCTTTCCTGCATGGCATATGTTCATCAAATAATTGGTAAACTGTAGATGGTGATTTTGGCAGGTAGGGGTTACCAAACTTGAATAGTGCTGTGGTTCTTCTTGTTTCCTTTTGGGTAAGTAGGAGAAGTGGGCATTAAAGTGAATGTATCTTTTGAATGGTTACTGTTGAACCTTGAGAATCAGGGTGGCCAGAGGTGGGCCATATGTGGGCTATAAGTAGAGTGACCAAACATTGCAGTTTGCAGAGGACAAGTCCTGGTTTATGTCTGTTCTACCATAATTATTAATAGCATTCTTTTTCACTCTCATCGCAAAGGTATCCCAATTTAGGTGATATAATATGATTGTCCTAATTATAAGGAAGGAGCTATGAATCCAGACTCCATAGTAGGGAAGCTCTTTATCCTCAGTGCTGTTTTAATTATGTTGTTCGTCTAGGAAGTCTCTTGAAATAAATTCTTGATCATAAGCTTAGAGACCTACAAATCTAGTACTCATGTCTGTCAGTTACCTTGACCGCCCTTATCGTCAGATGCTAGGTATATTTATGCCTAAGCTTGCTTATATGCTCTGATGCATCTAATAAGCAAAGCTTTTTATCTTCCCCTAATCATTCCTCACCCACTCCATTCCTTCTCCTCACCTCCCCATTATTTTCTCTGGAGTGCTTTCTGAGCATCTTCACTTTTCTAATGCAGATTATTCATCTGGTGCACTTTTATTATTCTAATTGTTTAGCAGAGTCTTTCCAGATTAGTGGGAAGTTCAGATTGCTTATATGGTTCAAATTGCTGATTAGCCCATTAATTGAATTTGACATTTATTTATACTATATATTAAGTATTGTGGTAGGCCCATGTAAATGTTGAGTAAAATATAGTTCTTGTAAAAATCTAGAGTAGGGGATTAAAAAATACACGTACAACTTCAGTATAAGTTTATTAGTAACAAAACTGCCAAAGGCTAAAAATTCACACTCCGGTGAGGAGAGAATAAGAAAGCTTCATGAAGGAGATAGCATTTGAAGTGGTCTTTGAAAACTTATCAATTAAAAGTAAATAAAAAAATTTTTTTTAAAGATTTTATTTATTTATTTGTGAGAGAGAGAGAGAGAGAGAGAGAGAGAGCAATCACAAGCAGGGGCAGTGGCAGACGGAGGCACAGGGAGAAGCAGGCTCCCCGCTGAGCAAAGAGTCCAACACGGGACTCGATCCCAGGATCCTGGGATCATGACCCAAGCCGAAGGCAGATGCCCAACTGACTTAGCCACTCAGGTGTCCCAAAAATGTTGATTTAAACAAACAGTAACTGACACTCATTTTAGAGAATGGATAGTTTTCTTCAGCATATTATCATGATAGTAATATTTTCTAGATCAGTTTACTGAGAAGATTCAGTTTATCATTCTATATTGATTATGAATCAGTCTTTGTATTGGTTATAGTGGCGTGATGCTTATTCTCTATTTCATATGATCTTTATTTCTTAATGATTTGATATCTAAAGATTCCATTCTTACTTCAGTACATCAGCTGCATTTTCCTCTATTTTAAAGTTTCTGGTTCCTTGAATAATACATGCCATTTTTTCCCTTGAGAAATATTTTTATAGAGGATGGGTAAAATGTTTAGCTTATGAGTTGGTGCTAAAAGGGAGACATGAATAGTAGATGTTTTTATATCCATAATCTCAGGTTATCTTTTGAAATTGCTAGTCTTTTCCTAAGGGAGCTGTAAGCCAATCATTACTTCCCAAACATGCCATTTCATTAGGCAGTCTTAAGTTTTCATTCTAAGAATGGGACAAAAGTTTGGCTATTTTTGGAAGTCATTGAGTGTAAGGTTTTCTGCTTTTCAATCTCTTATTATACATGGCTTCATCTATTTTTATTTATTTGTCCTGTATCATTACATATTATTTATTTTAAAAATATTCTGTAATACAGGGGCGCCTGGGTGGCTCACTTGTTAAGCGTCTGCCTTCGGCTCAGGTCATGGTCCCAGGGTCCTGGGATTGAGCCCCGCATCGGGCTCGCTGCTCCGCAGGAAGCCTGCTTCTCCCTCTCCCACTCCCCCTACTTGTGTTCCCTCTCTCGCTGTGTCTCTCTCTCTCTCTGTCAAATAAATAAATAAAATCTTAAAAAAAAAAGGTATTCTGTAATACAGAAAAAGATAACAATTCAGAATATGTGTATCTAGATTATAAAGCCAGTTTCTATAATCTGCATTTTCCCCCATCCCCCATATCTTTGTATAGCTCCTTAGTGCATTCTCACAATGACTGGTGATACATATGCTATGATTTAAAGAGAAAGGGATAAAGATTTTGGTCAATCTAAGATCATGCTGGCTTTCAAAGTATATGAGGGTCATACCTATTGGGAATGTAAGCACTACATAGCAGTTCATTTTTCCTTTCTATTTCTTTTGTAGTTTTTGCCCCTCCCCCACCTTTGGTAACTTTTTCTTTTAATGTAATTTCAGACTTACAAAAAAACTTTCAAGAAGAGTTAAAAAGAACTCTGTGATTTTTTTTTTTTTAAGATTTTATTTTTAAGTAATCTCTATACCCAACATGGGGCTCAAACTCACAACCCTAAGATCAAGAGTCACATGTTCCACCAACTGAGCCAGCCAGGCACCCCAAGATTTTTAAAAAAGAGAGAAATATTAAAGATTTCTTTATTTATATTTAGTTTATTTCCAGTAGGTTTAAGGTGGATTAGGTAGAATATAAGATTATGTGAAGTGAAATGGAAGAGAGCAAGGAGACAAAACCAAGGGTAGGGATTTAAGATGGAACAAGGTATGAGGCAGATACAAAAATGCATCCTGTAAAGACATTGCTTTAAGGAGGCCACAAATTGGTTTCTGGGATGATTTTTCCAGAAGCTTTATGATTTTGGTAGATCATAGTGAGGGTGGGGAATGAATCCAAGTTAAGTAAAACATACTTATTGCAGAACTTTTCAGAGCTATTATGTGTTAGTATATATTGTGAAAGATGAAGAGTGGAGTATGTAATGTAAAATGCTCCCCAACTTTTTTGACCATAGAACCTTTTGCAGAACATCTTGAGGAACTAATGTTCTCTGAAATATTTTGAGTGATGCTGTCTAGGCAGTTAAATACCATGAAGACCTTAGGCTTTATGACAATACTTCAGAGGGAATGTACATATTACATTATAGAAGGGACATAGACATCTTGGGTTTAGTTTAGAAGGGGTGGTTTAGATGAATAAGGCATCTGGGAGTCATTTTATGTGAGAAAGGGTTGGTAGAAACAGGACACTTATTATGGAGAAGAGGAGGATTGGGTTGGGGACATTGGGAGCTGTCAGTTTTTCTTGAGGACTGTGACATGGAAGAGGGAAAAGAGTGGGTCTTTGTGGAAATGTGGATGGAAACTAGAACCATTGGGTAGAAGTCACAGAAAGCCCTGTTTCCATTCCATATAAGAAACTTTTCTAGTTGTCATAACTGCAGAAATGGAAGGAAACTATCTTACAAAGTAGTGAGTTCTCTGGTGTTGCAGTTCCTGGATTGGTGGGGATATTGTGAAGATTTTAGCATAGGATTGGTGATAGCATTAAATGAACTTTTAGATCCCTGCTAGCTGAGAGGTCTTAACTATACTATGAAAGTGTGATATGGGCCTTTTATGGTAAAGTCACAGGAGACATTCTTCCATAGAGATGCCTGATCTGCCTTTGCTTATAACAGTACAGTGTGTATTTCTGGTATCTAACATGTAGTAGACGTCCAGTAAATATTTGTTAAGTGATCTGTGGGGAAAGATATCTGAGGGTTAGAAGGCCACCATCCTCAAGACAGATGGGGAAATCTGGAGGCATATACACTTCATAATCAAATGGTACTTTGAGATCAGGCTTCTGATGTCTCAGTCATTGCATCCTGACCTCAGTATCAGACTTAATAGGCAATAGATTTATCTGGTCTAAGCATAAAAGCCAAAGTAAAGAGGAAAATCACTCAAGGATTGGTTTTTGCATGTAGGTTCACACTCACATTCTTTGTCACAGCTCTTGGGGTTGCTGCAGTGATACCGTGTGATGAGCAGCCACTCTCTGAGTATGGGCAGAAAGAATGAAGAATTTCTAGCCCCTACAGAATGATGTTATTTGGGGTGATGTCTGATAGGTGCTCCCCTGTGGAAATTTGTTTTCTTTTTTTAGTCTTTTTCTACTTTATCTCTCTGCAAATGCAATCCTTGTTTTCTTCTGGATATTCAATGAATATTACAGAATTGGGTTGCAGTCATTCTTTGTGTATGGGTCCTCTCACCTACCCAAAAGGGTACTTACATCACTGGGAGAATTTCTTAAATGTGAGAACTTAGGTTTTATAAAAAGAATTATTTCCTAATAAAATTAGTTTTCTTAAGTGTAAGTTCTATTTGTCTGCTTATAACAAGTGAAGAAAAACTGTAATATGCATCACATGACATTTGGTATTGCAGTATAGTGTCCCACAATCTTCTAGAATTTGGGGAGAAGTTTAATGGAAATTATACATCCCTGGTGTGGCATGTATTCTACCCAGTATTTGGGGAACAGGGGATACAGTTTGTTAATGGTAATTTAAAAATTCCATTGTATATGGAATATACAATAATGTAGAATTCTATTGTATATCAGTTTGTTTTCTTTGGCAAGGCTGTTTTTTTGTTTGTTTGTTTGTTTTTTTAAAGAGTCATTTCACCTCCCCAACCTTTTTGGACAACTTTGTGGTTTTCAAAAATATAAGGTTCAAAGAACGTTGAACTTTTATGTTGGATTTATTCTTGTTTTTTGGGGGGCTACATGAATTCTTTTCATTCTTCTGTAATGCTTTCACTGACTAATCCAAATCAAAGCAGTCTTTTTCTTTCCATGTATTTGTCTTGTTTGCCCTAGTCATTTGATTTTACCCAAGAGCACAAAGCTATATGTATGTTTATTTTGTGTCTCCTCCATTGTAATTTAAACTTGGGAGTGGGAATCCAACATAATTTTTGTCCTGTGTGGTATCCTGACAAAGGAGTTTAGGAACTTAATAGTCTCGTCCAACCTGCCTATTCTGTAAATGGAAACTCAAAAATTTCTTGCTTGTTTTGATGCACATTTAGTATTTACATGCCTAACTTCATAACATAAATATAACTAGCCTTGATTTAGGGCTGTAATTCATTTTTGAAACTAATGAAGAGTCTCAGAATCAAGAACTTTTAGGACACAACAACAATAACATTTCTACTGTCCTTCATAGTTTATGGAGCTCTTTTATACATATATTATTTCATTATATCCTCAGAAATCTGTGAGGTAGAGAGGTAATTTTATCATTGCCATTTTAGAAATAATGACACTAAAACTCAAAGACTCAACTTGCAAGTAATTGATAGAGCTGGGGCTGTAACCTAAGACTGAACTCCAAATGTTATATATGTCCTGTTTTTATCATCCTGCTTCTGGATCATCTATCCATTCTTGTTGTTGGTGGACAGGATTTCTTTTCAGTATTTCAGCCATCCAGTAAGTGTTGACTGGATGCTCAGGTTGTAATACAGAACACATTTTCAGGTGCATTGGGGGAAAAAAGACTTCCTACAGCATTTTGTTCTTATTATACACAAGCATGCATCTACTTACACAAATGCACACTTATTTATTATAGCAATTATCACATTGAATTGTAATTTGTCTTTTTACATGTCTGTCTCCCCAACCAGATTGTGTGCTTCTTGAGCATCCTTTGTTATTCCGTAAGCTCCTTTATATCCTCAATGCCAATATAGACTCCTGCATATAGGTGCCTAGTTTGTTGAATCAGTGTATACAAGTGAATGAGTAAGTAAATACAGACACAAAAGATATTATGCCCTCTGGGGGCTTACAGTCTTCTTGGGGAGATAAAGCATGAAGTTTACAGTAAATACAAAGATTAAAAAAAAAAACAAATTGTTTTTTTTTTAAGAGAAACTTTGTTTATAGGGTTTTTTTTTTTTAACTAATATAAAACAGATTCCCAGCCTGTAGTTCATGTAATTGCTTCCCGGCGTCAGGATTGGTCAGAACATGAGATTGCAATGGAGACTAGCCCCACCATAATTTATCAGGATGTATCCAGTGAATCACAATCAGCTACTTCAACAATCAAAGCTCTGTTAGAACTCCAACAGACAACAGGTATGAATTCACATGCTCAATGGAATGAAGCATGTTTTCTCTAGAGATGGGTTGTGCTAAAATACTACCACTGTTATATTTTCTTTGTTATTATTTGAGCACATTTCCCCCCTCTGGACTGGTCTATAATCATTGCCGCAGTCTGTTTACTTGTCAGTTCAATAAGATGTGCCCAGGAGTACTGAAGGATAGACTAGTCAGGGAGAAAAAAAGACAGAACTCTTTCTTTTCTGTCTCCTGCTTAAAGGGGCAATCCTGTAGCCTCTTGTCACCAGAAGGCAGTAGTTTCTATCATTTCTAAGCACGAGGATAGATGCAGTATAAGTTGTATATAAGAATAGTAGGAGGCAAACTGCAGGGCCCCTGCCATCCTCCTTGATATTGGTGGGCAGTTTTGTGGACATGAAACACCATTAATGGCCCTTGCTAGCATTCTAATTTGTTTTATCTTTATATTTCATTGTATAATTTAACCACTTGAGCTTCTGTGCAAAGCCATCCTCATTTAACAAGATCCTGTCAGTATTTCTGGTTGCTTAAATATCTTCAGTAAACTCTAGGCAAAACCTGTGTCAGTTATACTGACTTTCCTCTGTTACACAATAAGTCAAAGATTGTTAGGGTACTTAAGGGACCTTAGCAATGATCTCATCCAGCCCTTTCATTTTATGCGTAAATAAACTGAGATCCAGAGAGTTTACCCAATTGGCTAGTGTCAGAGTGAGACTCCATGTCTTTTGATTCCTAATTCAGTGTCCTCTCTACTTGTGGGGTGACTGTGATATTATTTTAGTTTTGTTTTGCTTTCTTTGTTTAAATGATTAGTTTGATTTTGTCATATTATACTTCGTAGGAATGATCTGAATGATCTTTCAGTGGACTTAATTACTGGTAACTATTTGTTGTAACATCCACTTTAGCCAAAGAATACTAGGATTTAATATCTTTGGTTAATCTTTCTATTGGTGTTGTTTTTGGCCTTAGGCACTGCCTCAGCTCCTTGTCTTTGACATACTCAGCCATTTCCATTAATATCTTATAGAGGGTGGAAACCGAATGAGTAGATTTTTTTAGAAAAAGTGATAAGATAGAAAGTATATTTATCCATGGAACCCATTCTTGTTTTTAGACCATTCCATAAAACATTTTTGTAGAACAGAGAGGTTGTTTTTTTCTTAACACTGAAAATTTTTATTCTTTAAGAGTCGTTGAAGACTTGGTAGATTTCTTTGGAGATTATCTTGAATTTTTAATAGATCAAACTAAACCGGTCATTGTATTGTGCTATTCTGGGTAGATATGCCCTAGAGCAAATCATGGTGTATACTGCTTATTCACCCTTTGTTTTCAGGTTGAACTCGAGGATACCAGGGACTACCTTGAAGAAGGGTAAAGGAAATGTTCTAAGAGGAGTGTGTACAAGGGAAACAGATTGTTTGGCCTAGTCATAGTAGGGGGGAATTTTAGTCTGTATGCGTATGAGTTCTTCTTGCTAGGCTGCTTGGTATGGTTGCACAAATTGTGCATTCTACAACCATACATAGCAGTCTGCTTTTTTCTTTTCAATTCACTGTCTCCTTAGTCATGGCCAGTGTGGCACCACAGAGGTCTGGCTCATTATTCCCATGGACAACTCTGGTTTTGATACTTGTTTGTAATAAAAGTTAACTTTTCCCCCAACTTTTTTATGCAGTAAAGGAAAAATTGGAATCTAAACCAAGACAACCCACTATTGACTTGAGTCAGATGGCAGTGCCTATTCAGATGACCCAGGAAAAGAGACATTCTCCTGAGAGTCCATCCATTGCTGTGGTAGAGTCAGAACTAGTTGCTGAATACATCACTACTGGTAGGTGTCCTTTAAAAAGTAGTATTAAGGTAGGAAAGCTACCTTTCTGGATTTGATGGGATGGTTCTTTGGGGGAGAATATAGGTTTATATTTCTAGATCTTTTCCAGTTTGCTCTGAGAGCAAATTCACATTGTCCTTGGGACTTACCCTATCTTTAATGATGAGGGGGAAAAAAATCAATTGGTTATTGCAAATTGCAAATAATAAAGAATTGCAAGTTGGCCATATATGATGTCTGTGAATACAGGGTGACAGTTATAGAGAGGATAAAATACCTTTTATATAAGAATAAGTATTTTGATGCATCTGAGTTTTTTTAGTTTTGGGGGAGGGGAGGTGGGTCAAGAGAGAAAGAAGGTATAAAACCCAATACTTTTTTAACATAAAGAAAAAAAATGTGGAAAACCTGAAATCCATGTAAATACTTAGGAGTTCTGGTGGAAAGCAAATTAGGTATTTGTTTAAAATGTGGTCTGGCAGTAAAACACTAATGAGATTTTTGGATGGCATAGAGAGAAAAGTGGAGCAGGAAGGGTAATAGATTCTTTCTCTCATAGTCTGGTGAGACCACACCTGGAATACTGCTTTCTGGTTTGGACACTTCATTACCTTGAGATTTGAAATAGTTCAGAGGATAGTAATACGAGTAATTAGGGGTTAGGAGAAATGACTTATGAGGCAGTATGTCAAGAACACCTGTCTTAAGTTTTCTTAAGCAGTGATTAAAAGAGAATATGAAGTTATAAATATTTAAAGGATGTAAAAAATACCAAAGCAGAAAAGGAATTCTTTGGTATCATTTTAAGAGATATTTTTAAAGATTAATGGGTTAAAATTGCCAGAGGGGAAAATCTAGTTAGAGACTATGGAAAGCCATCTAGCATCTTTCTTTAGAGATCTTTAGCAGAAAGCTAAATAAAGCAGAGGGCAGTATGTTGGGGCAATCAGTATTAACCTCTGGGGATAGACTAGATTGTCAAATGTTAAATAGAGGAAAAGACCTATGATTTCTTCCCTTACTTATCCTTTTCAGAACGCACTGATGAGGGGACAGAGGTTGCTTTTCCCCTTCTAGGTAAGTGGTGTGCATCCATTTGTAGTATAACTGAAGGTAAAATATTATTGTTTGGGGGGGAACCACTTAAATGGATGCGCTCTACTCTGATCTGGTAGAGGAAAGGTAAGCTCCGCTCAGTGAAAAGCAGACTTTCCTTTCACAGGATAGTGGGATTCTTTTCTCAGAAATGAGCAGTTTGACATTGGAAAAAATAAAGAGCTTTTAAAGAAATAAGTGACTGTTTTGTGCTATTGATATGGCCCAGTTAACGTCACTTCAGCTGTTTTCCAAACGTTCACTCTCTGACTTCCTTCCATTATCTCCTCCCTATCATATCCTAAGCCACATTAAGCATTTTCTTTGACTTCAGATCCAGCTTCCTGGACCTGATCTCTTGTATTATCCTACAGTAGGTGTTAGTTTTCTCTGACTTTACTGCACCCTGGGGAATTACTATGAACGGATTTACAGTATCTTGAATGAGGATTATTCTTAAATGATTTTAATTGATCTTCTATTAAATCCACTTCCTTTCTTAATAAAAAATTTAATGTTATAATTAAGATTAGTATGGGCAGCAGAAATGTTCCATATAATCTGATAATTTCATGAAAAATTATTGTTTATTTTTCAGATGTCATTCATTTCTGATGGTGCTTCTATCAGTAAAAAACTTCATTAATTTGTTTAATTTTACTATTAGTATGATTTGTTTTTTCTCCTCAGTCACATTATAAATGATTTCAATAGTTGTTTTAATATCCACACTTTTTTTCAGTTTGGTTGAGCACATATGGAAGATTTTATTAACTCATAATTTAAAATATGCATATAAAGCATACTGTGAAATGCAATAAGACATTGCAGTACATTTATCCCAGTGGTGCTGCCTATAATCTCTTACATCACATGTAGGCATATGTATAAGCAACAATAGAAAAACAATATAGACAGAATGAGTTACAAAAATAAATAAAGCTTGTTTATATTTCACTGGATAGTTTTAGTTCTGTACTTACAATACCTAGGTAGTACTTTGACATTAATTTCTGTAGTGATCATCTTCTCCTTGGACATTCCACTATGACTTTTCTTAAACATGAAACCACTTGAATATGGAACTACTTGAAATTGCAAATCAAGATATTTGAGCATTAGAATCATGGGTTATTCAGAGAATTTTGATATTCTCAAAATCCTTAGCTAATCTTACAGATTTGTTTTACTCTGTTTTTAATTCAAAAAGCTTATTTCCCAGTAACCATAAGCCATTTTTAAGGCTCTATAGAATAAGAAGTGGTGAATGTTTTACTGTTTAAAAAGTTGAAGTTGAGGCTGGTAAGAGATAGTTTGGCATCAAGGTAGACGTATCGGTTTACATCTGTTACATCGATATAAATGTCTAGTTTATTCCTTTGGACCTTTGTAGCGAGAAAATAGGAAATGGGGTTGTTTTCCTGTTACACTGTATTCTCATTTGTGTCAGATGAGCAAAATTTGGATTTTTCTATTCTTTTGTTTACTTTATAAGACTTAACAATTTAAGGACCATTTTCCGTCTGTTACTTCATTTGATCCTCTTCTAGGTAGAAAAAAAATTTTATTATCCTATTTAAAAAAACAAAAATAAACAAAACTAAAACCTCTAAGTTTAGAGACTCATAGAATTTAAATGACCTTTTAAAATTCACATAGCTGGTTGGTGGCAGGGTGGGACAGAATCCAGCCAGGTGTGACTCTTGGTGCAGTTCTTTGTGCAGTATCATCTTGACCTCTTACATCTTTAGGAACTATAAGGCTACATGACAGTGTCACTTCATGTAAAAGAATGAATGCTTCTGGGTTTTGTATTGCATTTGGAACTGGGACCAAGAAATTATTATCTTAGTAAATTAAGTATTATCTTAGTATCCTTAAAGATACTAGTCTAGGATTTGATTATAGAAATGTATTATTGTTTTGTTACCTTAATGGGGTGAAGGTTGTTGGAGAAATTAAGCACAGCTCACAGGAGGATATAACTTTAAGGGGTTTGTTCCTCCTTTGTGATAATAGTTTTCACAGTGCTTCTGCATTTCTCATCTCATCCTTATAATAGCTCTGTTATTCCCATTTTACAGATGAGAACACAGAGTCTCAGAGAAGATAAGTGACTTTCTCAGAGTCACACAGCTCATAGATGGGCAGACTCTGGTCTTCTGCTCCTAGTTCACAGTACCACACATTCTCTCTGTGATGCAATCTCACAGACATTTGTTTAAAATGACTACTGGTTACAGATGCTGTGGTGATTTCTGGAGAAATATCATCACCTCCTCTATTTTCAGTCAGCCATCGCTCCCAGCCCCAACAGCCCTCCCAGCCCCAGCGGACCCTGCTCCAGCATGTGGCTCAGTCACAGACCGCAACACAGACTTCGGTGGTGGTGAAGTCCATCCCAGCATCTTCCCCTGGAGCAATCACCCACATTATGCAGCAGGTTGTATCTCTTCTTTCTCTTCCTACCTTCTGTAACCGCCTTCTTCCTGAAATAAGGCTTAGTCTCATCGATTATGGGAGAGGAAATAACTGAATTGAAGAGCATTTGTGTAGTTCTTTCATCTGTGAGGACTGAGTAGAGGAAATGAGTTGAGAGTCTTAACACTTGGAAAGTAATTAAGAAACAGTATTCATGGATCTTCTGTAAAATTGGAACATTTCAAAAGGGTGGGACTGTCTAGATGAATCTATGACTTCAGAATTGGTACTCTTTCTATATCCATTGTTATGGAAGCATTTATCACTGAGGTGAGATTTTTAAATGAAATAGAAGTTGGCTTGTTCAGCTGTTTGTTGCTAGGTGTTTTGCTTTTTGAATGAATTCTCATAGGAAACGTTATTTATAAGTAGGTATAAATATCTGACTTCTTTCACTATATGTGACCAGTTAAGGAGGAGGAGACTCAATGAGGAAGGAGAATGAGTTAATACAAAACAGAAAATCTGGTACCAGGAGTAACGGGGAAAAGAAAAGAATATGCTGATCAGCTGATTTTGTGTCACATACTGTGCTTTGAGCTTTAAATACATTAATTTGTTTAATTCTCAACTATGATCCTGCAAGGTGGGTGTATTATCCCTCTTACAAATGAGGAAACTCATGCTTACAGAAGTTAAGTAACTTATTCTGGGTGGCAGAGCCAGGATTTAAACTCAGAGCATCCTGCCTCTATACAAAGTGATGTCATAGATGCCAGATTTAAGCGTGACTTATCATCGGTTGTCACATAAATCACCATCATTTGACTGGTAGCAGTTGATCCTAATTTTAAGCAAACTAACCTGAATGGCAATAAAGAAATTGGTGCATTAAAAACCTATATGTGTAAGGTCATTATGAGATAGGGGAGAGTTTCAATTGAATCTCATAGTTTTAAAATTTAGAATGAAGGAATAGCATGATAAGGAAGTGGGAAGGATGGGGTTGGGGTGGATTTTGTGTCACTGAGGAAAGCCAGGTGGCCAGAGGTTTAGCTAAGTATCAGATCTCAGCCTGGATGCTAGCAAGTCCTGACGTTGAGCTTTCTCAGGACCCCCAGAGAGGTCGAACAGGCTGACCCTAACCATGTCCCTCAAGATCGATGCCTCCTCCCATCACCGTTATATCCAACACGGAACAATCTCCCTTTCCACGACAGGACTGCTCTCGTCCCCTCCCCCAGTCTCCTTCCCTCCTGGCAGCCGAGTCTCTGCGAAACTGTTGCCCAGTGGGCCCAGAATATGACCGAAGGGGCGAGGGCGACTAGTGCGGAGGATTGTTCACACAGGCCTTGGTGAAGCCTGATGAACCATTTCCACTCTGAGCAGAGAGGCCCTCGGTGGGGACCCGATGGGCATCCTCAGACAGTAACTCTTCCCTTCTGGACAGCATTGGACATACACACACGGGCTTCTCTGAACCTTGGCTTTTCTCTGAACACCTCATTCCTGGGTCACTGTGTTCTTTTCTTTGGATGGGTCGGTATCTGTGATGACCAGGCGAGAGAGCTGTGTCCTGAGCCAGGGAGCCTCTTCCTTTTCTGTGTTGAGCTGTGCCTGCAGGGCAACCTTATTCCTCCTACCTATGCATTCTGGGCCCTTGAGGACTTTTCTTCTAGAAGTGAGTAGACCAGTTTTTGCAGTTTTCTTTTTAGGCTCTTTCTTCTGAAAATTTTTGAATGAATCTCATAACCAAGTCTTTTCCAGTTTGAGGAAAATGTAGCAATGTAGGTGTTTTTCTTATTTCATTCTTACTTTGTGCCTTTTTTACTCAGGCATTAAGCAGTCACACTGCTTTTACCAAACACAGCGAGGAACTTGGAACTGAGGAGGGCGAGGTTGAAGAGATGGATACTTTAGACCCTCAGACAGGTCTGTTTTACCGGTCTGCCCTGACTCAGTCACAGTCAGCTAAGCAGCAGAAACTTAGCCAGCCCCAGCTGGAACAGACTCAGCTGCAAGTGAAAACTCTGCAGTGCTTCCAGACTAAACAGAAGCAGACCATCCACCTGCAGGCAGACCAGCTCCAGCACAAACTCCCGCAAATGCCCCAGCTTTCCATCAGGCATCAAAAACTCACCCCTCTTCAGCAAGAACAAGCACAGCCCAAGCCAGACGTACAGCACACACAGCATCCCATGGTGGCCAAAGACAGGCAGCTTCCTACCTTAATGGCACAGCCCCCGCAAACTGTAGTACAGGTGCTCGCAGTGAAAACCACGCAGCAGCTCCCTAAACTGCAGCAGGCTCCGAACCAACCAAAAATCTACGTGCAACCCCAAACCCCCCAGAGCCAAATGCCGCTCCCAGCTGCATCAGAGAAACAGCCGGCAAGCCAGGTAACGGAATATTGGTAGCATGCAAAGTTAAACTTCTCTGTTCACGGAAAAAATGAGAACATCACGACCCTATCGTGATTAGCAGTGCTTTCTCCTGGCAAGAGGAAACTCAAAAGCCTCATTTATGCTGGTATTACTTTACCCCATCAGAAGGTTGACATTAGGGAAGAGATGCACGCATTAATATAGGAAGGAAAAAAAAAAAGCATAGCACGCAGAACTTGATTTTCCAGGCAGTTTTTAACGAAATCACTTCAGCATTGATCAGCGGTGCATAGAAGCAAGATCCCTAAATTATTTGTATTTTTTAGATATAAAATATTTTTTTCCATGCTTGTAAACTCTCATATCTGTGGTAGTAATGCTAATAAGTAAACTACAATCTTTTAAGGAGCTTCACTGAACCATCTTCCTTTGTAGTTTACATCAGCATCATCTAGTTAATAAATTTACTTTCTAGATTTATCTGCTAGATTGCAGAGGAATTATCTGGATATTCGAAAGAAAAATTATATTAGGGAAAACCAGTGGCTTTGGAGTGATGTATATATGTGTATTATAAATACATATATAGAAAATATATTTGTATAGCTGTATTTTGAAGCAAAAAATTGAAAATTCTACTTTTTATTTTTAAAAACTGAAGATGATGTAAATAATATGAAAATGGGTTGAAGGTATACTGTGTGGGGATATAAATCCCAAAGGAAAACAAGGCTGCTGTGACTTTTTTTTTCGTTTACTGCTATGAACCTTGGCTGGCTAGATGAAGGTTCTTTTTACCCCTCCTCTTTCCCTAGGTTTCTTAAAAATAACCAGATACTTTCCCATCCAGCCCTCTTTTAAACACCAAGCTTCGTTCAGAATGTCTTCCTAGTATACCGCACGAATGTTTCTTTTGCCATATTATCTGGGGTATTGGATAGGTTTTTCTCAAAGAGATGTAGCTGTAACACACACAACCCCAATTTGTTTTCAGGTGGAGCAGCCAATTATAACCCAAGGATCCTCTGTTACAAAGATAACTTTTGAGGGGCGCCAGCCTCCCACAGTTACAAAGATAACTGGTGGCAGTTCTGTGCCTAAGCTGACATCACCAGTTACAAGCATATCTCCCATTCAGGCCTCTGAGAAGACAGCAGTGTCAGACATTTTGAAAATGTCTTTGATGGAAGCTCAGATTGATACAAATGTAGAGCATATGGTAGTGGATCCCCCAAAGAAGGCTCTTGCCACTAGTATGCTCACTGGTGAAGCAGGATCATTACCTTCCACCCACGTGGTGGTGGCAGGGATGGCGAATTCCACTCCCCAGCAACAGAAATGTAGAGAGTCCTCTTCAAGTCCATCTGCTGTTGGCCCTCCCTTAACGACAAGGAAAATCGATGCACCAGGAGTGCCTGCGACAGGCCAGTTCATGCGTATTCAGAATGTAGGCCAAAAGAAAGCTGAAGAGAGCCCAGCAGAAATTATCATCCAGGTAAGAACTGGAAGGAACATGAGAAGTATTGGGCATCTTGGGGGTTGTGGGTTTGGTGTGATTGGGGTGTTGCAGGAAGAGTCAAGCCAAGATGGCAAGAGACATAGTGATTATTTTTGAGATGGCATTTGAAAAATTTGGTTTAATACCTGTTGCAAATATACAAATTTATATTTTCTGGAAGAGAATCCTAGAAAATTGGTGGATGTTATCACACAGCACCCCTCAGAGGCAGTCAAGGGCCCTGAGCCCGTATGTCAGCTTGATTTATAGATACAAAACATGCTTGCCAGTTTAAGTCAACCCAGAAGATCAGCAACTTGATGGGGTCAAACTCCCCGGTCTTTGCTCAAAAAAGGGGTATAACTGGATTGCACTTTTATTTCAAGTTAATTTCAGGGACCCTTTCCTTGGAAAAACATAGTTCTTTATCTTGATCTAAATTTATTGTTTTCAGGACAATTAAACCTTAATTAACTGCATTGTCTGGAGAAACATGTTGTAAGAAAATGTTTCTACATAATTTAATTTTATATTTAATTTGGGATTAACCATAAAGCTTTGCTTCTTATTTTAATCATTGTTGAAAAATCTTGTTAATGGTTACTGTCCTGCCTTGGTAAGTACAGGCTAGTGAACATAATGAATTATTCATTGGCAGTAGATCTTTTATGCCTCACATTCCCTTCATTCTAAAACTCATCTGTCATCATGCATAACAGATCAAGACTAAAGAATTACTGAGTTCAGATTAGCCTTTAAAAGTTGTGTTTTACTTCCCTTTGTCCTTGCAGGGTTTCAGGTTGTTTTCTTGACACTTGTCATTTTTTTTGGCTATGCTGATAGATGGCTTGGAAGTTATCAGAACAGCACATTTTAGTTAATGGAGAATTTGGATTCATTGAAATGTGGATAATCTAGGATTTACCATAGAGTCACTGTTGTGTGACTTGGAAGTTTCTGTGGTAAACTTTCCCTTTTCCATGATGCCAGGCTACAAGAGAATGCAAACTGACCAGTATTCACCCAAATATGATACAAATAAGTATGGGGAAAATGCCAGAGGCAAATAGAACTGGCCATTGAATTAAATGATTTGTTCCTCTGTAAAAACAATTGTTAGCGAATTAAGTAATTCTTGATGGAGGGATTCGTCGTTGTCCCCCCCCCCCCCCCCCCGCAGAGGTAGAAAAGGAATGAGTTCCTGGCTTTGCCACTCACTATGTGACTTTAGGCAGGGCTATTTAACCTCACTCTGCCTTCGTTTCCTCATCAGTAAAAATGGGAATAAGGAATGCCTACTTTACATGATTGGTGGGAGGATTACACAAAATTGAGATGAAGCACCTAGCACAGTACCTGGCCCTTGGTGATTGCCCAATAAATGGTAGCTGTTAACTATTTTACTAAAATTTACTGTGGCTCCTGAGAGTCTACGGCCATACCACCCTGAACACGCCTGATCTCATCTGATCTCGGAAGCTAAGCAGGGTTGGGCCTGGTTAGTACTTGGATGGGAGAGTTTAAATTGGTGTACTCCCTAAACTGGAAATAATTTGGGATAGCTTATTTGGAAATAATTTTCTACACTTTATGAACAGGGCTGAAAATTGCTTTGTATATCAAGGATAGTATCAAATGAGTCGGCTCTCTACAGAACACACAACTAACTTTCAGTGTATACCATGTGCTAGGTGGTCATGTCAGAGGGAAGGACAGTGTGTTGTTTAGGAACCGAGCTTTTGGAGTCAGAAACACCTGGATTTGAGTCTCACCTGTACTCCTCCTTCCCAGCATTGTGGTTTGGAGCAGCAGGGTTCACCTCTGTACCACCATTTCATTCCCTGTGAAATGGAGACCATAACCGTTGCCTCACAGGGTTGTTTTGAGGATTTCATGGGAAACTATATGGAATGCAGCTAGTTAAGTGTCTGACACAGAGGAACACTCAATAACTATAGCTCCTGTTACTATAATCATCATGAATATATTGTTAGGATATTTTCAGATCTTACTAGTTACACTTAGCTTTGACCAGAAGTACTGATTTTACAGATTCAGTAAAATAGTATGGGGATGAATGAAAGCAGTCTGCAGAAGTGCTTTGATTCTTAAAAAATGTTTTATAAGAATCCAACATGTTTAATAATAAGTGCTTTGAATGAAGAGCCTTGTTCTTTATAGACAGATAATCTGTATTTCATTCATTTGTTTGTCCATTCATCCATTCATTCATACCACATGTATTATTTAACCTCTGTGTTCTAGGCGCTGTGCTAGGTGCAGACTAGAGGAGTAAACAAGACAAATATATCTTCTGTTCTGAAGGAGTCTATATATGTGGAACTCATAGAATTTTAGAACCTTGAGGATCTTTAGAGTATATCTTCTCTATCTTATTTTACACGAGGTTAAAGCTCAATGAGGTGAAGTGACTTGTTCAGGGGTCCACAGCAAGTCTGAGCCAGAGTTGAACTACAGTCCAGGCCTCCTGACCCCACCTAAGACTTCTTCACAGATTAGCTGTATGGAACAGAGTGGGAGAAAACAAATAACAGAAAACTCCACTACTCTAGATTCAGTGCCTTGGCATCTTACAGTATTTTCTTTATAGTGTTAAAATTATTTTTACATCCCTGTTCCCATTCTCCGCGCCCCCCCCCCCCCGCCCCCGCTGGCAGTAGAAGATTCTTTTGGTCAGGTGTATTTCCTGATATTCAATTTTGCCCTGGGACTTTTAATGTTAAAGATAGGTCAATTCATTTGGCAAGTGTTTATTGCGCATCTAATGTGTGACAGGCCCTCTTCAGAGCTCTGGGCATCTAGCAGTGAAAAAAGATAATCAAGATCTGTACTCTCCTGGAGCTTCCATTCTAAGGGTGAGAAAAAAATTTAACAAACGAAGACAAAGTAACAATGTAATAGAGGTGGGGGTGGGACCTACCCAGTGATCTGGTTTCATGGTCATAAAGAAGGAAGACTTCTCAAAACGTTTTACTCTTAAAGCATTTGAGCTAAGATGCAGATGACAGGATGGAACCAGCCATGCAGAAATTTGGAGAAAAAGTATTCTAGGAAGAGGGGAAGACCTAGTACGAGTGTGTTTGGCATGAGCCTGGAACCGTGATAAGTTTGATTTTATAGCAAACACGATAGGAAACAGTTGTAGAACTTTAAGCAGAGGTATAATGTGAACTGATAGACCTTTTAAAAAGGCATCTGATAAAGATGAGAAAGAAGAACCTGACAAGGCAATATGGCCATAATATGTGTTTGTCTACTGGTATTTTCATTGTTTAAAAGACAGTTTTGTCCTCTTTAGAAAGAGTATTAGTATGTGACCCAAATAAATAACTTCCCCTTTTAACTACCAAAGGGTTACTGAATGTTACTGAAGAGTTTAAAATATATTGTGGTGTCAGCGAATTAATCATATATCTTGCAGATAATAATGAGTGAAATCTGACTACATTTACATTTAAAATTTGCTTAATGATCAAATGAAAATGTCCTTTAAAGTCTCTCTCTTGAATTAGGCACAGACTTCAGCCTCCTTTACTAGAAGAGGTGCCATCAGGAAGTGGAAAGATCACTTTAAGTTGTTAGAAGACTTGAGCTTGAATCCTGGCACTTTAACTTTGACCAACTGTGTGACCTTGATTAAGTCACTTACCCTCTTGGTTTCCTCATTTGTAAAACAGGAGTAACATTTTTCTTATAGTGTTATTACGGGGATTTAGTAGAATATCATGTGAGAAAGCACCTAGCACAGTGCCTGGCATGTAGTAGTTGTCCAATAAATGTCAGTTTCCTTGTTTTCTTCCTTAGTGTTGGGGAAATCCTCGTGTTTCTTTTTCTTACCATAAAGCCTCTCTCCTGTGTCTTCTCTTCCAGGCCATTCCCCAGTACGCTATTCCTTGTCACTCCAGCTCCAACGTGGTTGTAGAGCCCAGTGGGCTTCTTGAGCTAAACAACTTCACTAGCCAGCAGTTGGATGACGATGAGACAGCAATGGAGCAAGACATAGACAGTAGCACAGAGGATGGAACCGAGCCCAGCCCCTCTCAGAGTTCTGCTGAACGGTCCTAAGTGTTTTGGAAATAGGAGTGCACTTTAAAACCTACTTGGTTACCAAGTGTCCAGGGAAGCCCTTGATTTTTGATGTCTAAAGAGAGCACTTTGCCCATGCTTAGGCTGTGGACCCCAGAATCGCAGTGTTTCAACAAGAACTGCTGCAGGAGCAGCATTTTAAAACAAGATAAAACTCACAGGGGACTGTACTTTTTTAAAAAAAAAAAAAAGGAAAAGAAAAAAAAAGAAAGAAAAGAAAAAGATGCACATCTGCAGTGACAGAAGACCTGATATTCTTTCTCTCTTGGACCACAGCTGATGGAAAAGTATGCCATGCAGTGGAAAGAGACTTTTCCTGTGAATGTTCCTCAACTGGTTTCTACTGAGCAAAACACCATCAGAAAAGGAGAATGTTAATAGTTTGTATTTTGAAATGGTGTGTCAGGAACAGTTTTTTAAAAAACCTTGTATGTTTTTGAAAATCCCTGGAAGTGTTGAATTGGTTAACATTTTACATTTGCTCAGTTTATAGTTTATAAAATAACTAGAAAAATACTGGCATTAAAGAATCCTTGTTAGATGGTGGAAATCAGATCCCTAACCAGTGGGAAGTGCTTTTTGGGTGGCTTGTACATTCTCACCAATTGTATGCTAATTTATTGTGTTGTTGTTCCTTTGTGCTCTAGGCAGCACACTTGCCTTCTATTTATTTAAATGTAAACATTTCAAAGCAGGCCATATTCTTTCTGACAGATTTTCTGTAAACCAGGATTGCCTGCCCTTTCCACCTCCCACCCCTCCCTGCTCCTTTAAGAAAACTTAAGAGAAAATGTTTCATTGTGAAGGAGAGGAAAAGAAACATTTTCTGGCCCAAAGGAAATGTTCAGCTATGTTCAGGAAAAATTATTCATATGATGCTATCTTAACATTGAAATTGCACATTCATGTTGGACTGAGACTTTGAAGATAACTTTTACATACTTTTGTTTAACCCCCTTTGAAATGTATAAAAATTCATTTACAGTTCTAAATGTAATGTTTTTAAGCATTCTGCCTTTTTAGGACACGGTTTGTTTAAGCAATATGTTTGGGTCTTGTGATCACTGTCTGTCACAAGTAGAGTGAGGGGTAAGAGGGTGGGAGGGTAACGGTCAGTTTTGACAGGTTGTGGCAAAGGAAGCAATTCTTTTCATTTTTTTTTAAAGAAATGTAAATAGAAAAGTTTTTAACGGTTTTATATAGATTTCACTATAAATAAGCATTTTAAGACTGACAAATGTTGAACTGTACATACATCTATCAGCATAACTGCCCAATTTTTGGTGCTGAAGTACTGTAAGTAGATTTCATCAACAGTCTCCTAATTTTTGCATCTATATCTAGAAAAAATACTGTGATACTATAGTTAATAAATTCCCACTAGAGTGACACTGAAGATTTAAACACAAGCATTTATAAGATGCACTGACCTCTGGTAGTTGCCATCATTTCTCCTGAGCGGTAATGACTTACCCATAGATGGGGCTGTTGGATTTTATTTTATTGTACAAATTCATGTTTAAAAGACTTTGTGATTGTTTCTAGTTAAGTAACTTTTTAACCTCTCCAGTCATAGGCTTCTTTGAAAATCTGATCACACTATGAACTCTCCCCAAAAAGACATGCATACCAATTGACATGTTAGGTTTTACATACAATCTTAGGGGTTTGTGGACCCCTAAGCCTAACCATGTATTCAAGGTTAAGCCCTCTGTTATGGTCAGTCTATTACTTACAGATGTAAGTTTTTATAAAATAAAATATCTTTTAAATATTCACGGGTCAGGTAACAAGAGCAAACTTGAATAAAGTTATTACGTTCTACTTCTCCATATTCTGGCAGCATAGCATACCTGTGTCCCTTTGAGAATTTAGCCTTAATATGTTTCCAGCAACTGGAATGGCAGATGAAACTTCCACAAGCTACACTTTTAAAAATTAGTGTGTATATATTAACAAACTGTCAAGTGAGGGATTTAACATTTTTTTTTCTTTCAAAGGTATTACTTTCAAGGAGAGCGTGAATTCTTTTGTTTATTCAGCAAATATTATTTAAAACATCTTCTACATGTCAGGTACTGTTCTAAGCACCAGGGGTTCCACAGTAAATAAACAGAAAATCCTACCCTTACGGAGTTTACAAACAGAGCTTCCTGCTGATGGAATGGATGCCAGGGCCGAAGGAAGGAGGAAACACGAGTGACTCTTAGGTTTCTTGATTAAGTGGATGGATGGTGATGCCATATATGGATCTCCAGGTATCCTTTTACTGAAAGTCGTAGCATTAGATCTATTTGTATTTCATATGTTTAAGTTCATAAATAATTTTAAGTCAGTCCTTGTAAAAGATACTCAGAGATTATGCTGCAAATACTACAGAATTTTTAGAGTCCCAACAACTGTTACAGGCAGTGATAAGAAAAACCCATTTGGTTTAAAATTTGATAAATGCCTTACATTGCAGAATGCAGTTTATGCTGAACTTAGAGAACTTAAAAAAAATATTTTATTGAAATTAATTCACATGCCATACGATTCACCCATTTAAAGTGTACAGTTCAGTGATTTTAACTATATTTACAGAGTTGGGCAGCCATCACTACAGCCAGTTTTAGAACATTTGCATAACCCTAAAAAGAAACCCTGTACCCCTTAGCTGTTACCCCTGAAATACCCCATCACCCAGCCCTAGGCAACCACGAATCTACTTTCTGTCTCTATGGATTTGCCTATTCTGGACATTTCATATAAATGGAATCATATAATACGTGGTCTTCTGTGACTGGCTTCTTTCATTTGGCATAGTATTTTCAAGGTTGTAGCATGTTTTAGTTCTTCGGTCCCTTTTATGGCTCAGTAATATTCCATTGCATGGATATAGCACATTTTATTTATCCATTCATTGGTTGATGGACATTGGGGTTGTTTCTACTTTTTGGCTATTCTGAATAATCCTGCTGTGGACGGTTGTGTAGTTTTTACATATGTTTTCAGTTCTCTTTGGTATATATCTAGGAGTGTAATTGCTGGGTCCTACAGTAACTATGTTTAATGATTTGAGAAACTTCCAAAATCTTTTCTACAGTGACTGCACATTTTACAGCAGTATAGGACAGTTCCACTTTTTCTACATCCTCACCAGTGCTTGCTATTATTCGTTTTTTGTTTTTATTATTTTTTAAAATTATATTCATCTTAGTGTGTGAAGTGGTACCTCGTGGTTCTGATTGACATTTCCCTGATGGCTAATGATAAGAATCTTTCCCTCTGCTTATTGGCCATTCAAAGATCTTTGGAGAAATGTCCTTTGCCCATTTTTAAATTAAATGATTTTCTATTTTATTATTTAAATTGAGAACTTTTGAAGTACAGGCAATAATACCACTCTTAAAAGTAACCTGTTCTCTGGTAATTAATTCATCACCCTTAAAACTTTAATTACGTTTTACTTCTTCCTCTCTAATGGAACAAATTGCTTAACATTCTTAAAACTGCATAGAGCTTTATAATTGAAAACACTTTTAAATACATTTCTTTGTGAGGTTCTCTCAATGACCTGCTAGGATAAGAGACATAGTACAAAGGAAATAGTGGCCAAGTGGTCTGGATTTGAGTCCCAGGTTCCTGTGTTAATGGATCATAGGAGCTTGAGCAAGTCCCAGTCCGTCCCCGTAATACAAAGTTGAGTGTTTCTGACCCCCTTCGAGTTATTGTGAAGACGATGAAATAGTGCATGTAAAAATGCCAGGCACAGAGTTAGGTGCTCTTATTTTTTAAGTCTAGTATTTATACCACTCCCACTTTATAAATGGAAAACGAAGGCTCAGAGACAAATGAAGTACCAAAACGCACAGATTGTATGCTAATAGGCATCCTGCTGATCCCCAAGTTGCTACTTTCTATATAGGAGTGTGTGTGTGCCACCAAACATAGGATTGGCTTTTGGAAAGACAGGGGAACTTGATGTTGGCCTGTAACATAATCTGTCAGTCTTAGGTGCCTTTACACAGAGTTGCTCACACACGTTTGTTTTTTGAGTTCAGTTATGTGTCACGAATCCCAGGTAAGAGGAAGTAGAGTGAAAAAGCACCATATAAGCAAGGCCTTTCCAAGAAAAGAGTGAGAAAACAGTCTGCTGCCTCTGCTTACAGATTTATAAGCCCTTAAGTAAGTGAGGCTTGATGACCTATATATTGAAAAAAGGATTGAAACACCATACGATCAGATTTGTACTTGTGAGAAGTCTTGCTCTGCTTTCTTACCTCTTCCTTGCTCACACAGACTGTAACTGAAAACATGGCGCTTACTTAAAAAAAAAAAGCAAGCCTAGGTTTGAATCTGGATAAGCCATGTGAGCTTGGACAAGCTCTAAGAGGCTTTGGATAGCACAAGATGGAATGGTTTATACTACTATGTTATCTAATTCCCACTTTTACATGTCCTGACTTTCTCTTTTCCTTCCAACAGATAGTTACTGGGCATTTTCTACGTGCAGACACTGGGTATATAAGAGCCAGGGAAAGAAGCCCCTACGCTCATGGAACTTCAGCCTAGTAAAGGAGATATATGAGTCAAAGATAGCAACTAAATGTATTCATTGCTAAGTGCTATGATGGAAAAATAAGTATATAAATACTGAGGTTGGGGAGTTTTGCTCAGAAAGGAATTATAAAGTGATCTGAAGGAAGAGGATTTAACTAGGCAAAAAGGATGGGGGACAGCTGTCCAGGCAGAAGGATAGCAGCTATGAAAGCCCTGTGGTAGGAGGGGCTTGGGGAGAAGGGAACTCTGAGTAGGCCAGTGTCGCAGCAACACAGTGAGTGAAGGCAGCGAGTGTGGGAGCAGAAGGTAGAGACAGACCTCTGTGTGGATCTTGCAGGTTATGATAAAAGTTTGAGGTTTTATTCTTAGAACAACAAGAAGTCACTGCAAAGTTTTAAGCCATTGAACCCGGCAAAATGAATTAATACATGTACAAAATATTTGGAGTTAATGTTGGTTCATTAGAACAGAAAAATACATTTGACCTTTCATTTTTGATGCCAGTCTCATCTCCTTATGCCCTTTTCTCAAACATCTTCACTGGTTCCCCAATATGTAGTATGAGTCTGTGGCATTCAAGGGCTTAGCCAAAGCTTCAGTCTACATCTCTAGATTCATAACCTATTTCACCACCCCGACCTACTCCCTGTCCCCCCCATCACACATACAGTTTTTGCTCTATATTTGAAAGGCTCACTCATTCCTCAAAGCCAAGCTTGAAAACCACATCCTTCACTAAGACTGCCTGGATGTGTTCAAGGGAAACTTATCCCACCCCACTGCTGGGTTCCTCTAGCATTTGGGGAGAAATAACATGTTTACTTAGCACTTACATTGGTTATCTACTGTGAATTATTTGCAATTTCTCACAGTGTGCCTCTGGGAGGGTCCTTGAAATGCAGTATTCTAAGGAGTCATTCTGAATTCTTTCAGCCTAAAGTAAGAGGTGCTGAGCTTTCTGGATTTTTTTTTCTCTTATGCCCTTGAATATCAACATATTCAAGTTTGTTAGAAAGAGTTTAGTGGAATCATTGATAATCTTGATTAGGATTCACTCTCATATTCAGGTCAGTAGCATCCTATTTGGTTCTCCACAGGATCAACTGCTATTTCCTTGCATGGTAGAGTTCACCAGAGTCGATCATCTATGCTATCACTTTGACCTCTACCATATATAGATTAATTAGTTAAATCATTGAGTAAATATTGAGCAGTTATTATGACCCAGGCACTGTTCTAGCCACTAGGGATATAGCAGTGAACAATATAGTGGAAAAATAAAACAACCTGTGCTATGTAGCTTACATTCTAAATGGACTATAAATATAAGTTAAAAATAAATAGTATGATAATTAGAACAAGAAAAGTGGGTAAGGAGAATATGAAATTCTAGGATCTATGGGTGTTAAATCTTAGATGGAATAGACAGGGAAGTTCTCACTGAAAAGGTGAATTGGAAAACTGCAGGAAGTGAGGGAGTCAGCCAGGCTGATGTCTGCAGAAACAGTGTTCAACATGGAGGGGACAGCAAGAACAATAGCATACAGATCTGTGCCTGGCATATTCAAAGAACAGTAAAAAAAAAAAAAAAAAAAGATAGGGTCAGAGTGAATGGGGAGAGAGGGAGTAGTAGGGTATAAGGTCAGAGAGAGAACTGGAAGCTATTCCTACTTTTCTGAGTCTTTTTATTATGAAAGGGTGTTGGATTTTGTGAAATGCTTTTTATGCATCAATTAAGGTGATTGTGTGGGTTTTTCCCTTTGTTCTATAAATGTAAATTGATTGACTTTCTTATGTTGAACCACTCTTACATTCCTTTTATAAATCCCACTTGGTTATATATATAATCCTTTTAATGTGCTATTGCATTTAATGTGCTAGTATTTTGTTAAGGATTCTTGTATCTATGTTCATGAGGAATATTGGTCTGTAATTTTCTTATGATGTCTTTAGCTGCCTTTGGTATTAGGGCAATGCCTCATAAAATGAGTTAAGAAGTGTTCCCTCTAATTTTTTGGAAAAGATTGAGAAGGATTAGGTTTAATTCTTTAAATGTTGGGTAGAATTCACCAGTGAAGCCATCTAGTCCTTGACTTTTCTTTGTTGAGAAGTTTTTGATTATTGATTCAATCTCTTTTCTTGTTATATAGATCTGTTGAGATTTTCTATTTCTTTCTTCTTAAGTCAGTTTAGGTAATTTGTGTGTTTTCAGGAATTTGTCCATTTCATTTAGGTACTCATTTGTTGGTGTACAGTTGTTCATAATATTATAATCCTCTTATTTCTGCAA